TAGTATAAACTTAACTCTTCAATTTCTCAAAACTCTAAATAATACCCGTAAACGGGTATAAATATGTAAGTTCAGTTTTCTTGTGAATGAAACCGTTTTTTTTTGGTAACTAATAAGAGATTAAAGGTATGAGTTATAAGAGCTGTGATCAGCAAGTTGTGCATCCTTACAAGGCTTAAAAGTCATCAACATAGATAGAAGCTTAAGTCCCGTCACGTACAACCACCGCCCAATGCTGGACCCTCTAAAATACTATAAGGCTGCCATTCCCGCAGTTGTGGAAATACAATAGTCGTGGCATGGCTTAAAAAATATGGAGCATGTTACGTTTATTACAGCTTTCATAAAGGAGTGCAAACATTTGGTGTGGGGCTTTTGTGGCTGGATGGCGACTTCAACTCCTGGTATCCATGTTCACCTGTCACATTGAATTAATATACACAATTCGCATCACTGCCAGGTTTAACAACATTATCCAAACTTGTACGCACGTTTCGGCGAAGAGGAAACCACTGAGCGCTTTCTCCTTCACGCTATTTAAATTACGCTTAGCTATTTCAGTGCTAGAGTGGGCAAATAGGGTACATACATACCGGTTAGTGTCTCAGTCGTTGTCGTCAAGCTGAACTAACGGAAGTCTCAAGAAGCGTGCAGCCTCTATAGAGTCTGTCCACAGGGACAGAGCCGTCAGTTGCGTGGGGTTTTCCGGGCATACGAAGAGATGTTTCGAGTCGTGGGGTGTCTCTCCGCATGCCGAACACTCATTTGGCATATCTGCATCTAATCTGCTCAGGTATGAGTTCAACCTGCTGCAGTAACCAGAGCGAAGTTGGGCTATTGTGGTCCGCGTCTCGTGAGGCAGACGAAGCTCCGTCTCGTCTATGACAACTGGTTGTGTGCCCTGCACGGCATTCACAGGTCTGAAGTCTACGTAACTTGAGACTGCCTCCCTGTGAATGCTGATCAGGGCCTCTCGATATGCTGACGGGTCCAGAGGTTGCTTTATTAACCTCTGGACTTCATCCGTCAGTTCGTGAAGGTGTCTTCTGACATGCTTTGGCGAGGGTTCCTCTGCAAGCAGGTGTCTGTTCGGGTGTCCCGGTCTGTGGCTCCCTACTAAGAATTGCTTATTGAGCATTATGTTGTGCTCCTGGGGAACATTTTCGATTCGTCGTGTAGGTGATGATCTGGCGACACCAGAAGGCATCCGGTCGCTGTCCGTAGTCCAGTATTTTGTGCTGTATGTAGCTTCATCCACTGCGTCCTACTGGTCCCCGGCGACCACTCGTGGTACTTCGTAATTTAGCCCGTCAATTGCCTTGTATATTGCCCGCAACGTTTCTTTGTCTTTGCCCCAAGTACTACCGGCTAGCGACTTGAGGACCTTGTTGCGGCTCTGTACTTTGTTGACAATTGCGGTTGTGTGCACAGAAAAGGAGAGCAGACTGTCGAATGTTACTCCGAGTATTTTTGGGTTATTCGCCATCGGAATTGGTGTGTTATCAACGTGAATACCCTTCGGAAGTCAGACCTCCTTCGTCCAGGTGGTAAATAAGGTCGCAGATGATTTTGTAGGGGAGAGGGTTAGACTCCTAGCAGTGAAGAAGCGATAAAGCTCTGAGAGATAATTCGCTGACCACCGTTTCAGTCTCTGTGTGAGTGAGGAGGCCTCCACCTCTTCTAGCAGCGTGGAGAGGCTGACGGTACCAAACGCCTTTGACAGGTCCAACGCTACTCGAATAGTTCTCTCAAAGGGGCGGTTGCGGTTTCGCCCACGTGTTGTTGTGCTGTGAACTTTACGGAAACCATGCTGATGCTTCGCTGGGGTCAGGTGATTCACACAATTCGGGAGTAGCAAGGCCTCTAGTATCTTCGCTATTGGGAAAAGGAGTGTTATCGGATGCTCTTCCCACTTTTTCCCCCTATATACTTTCACAAGCTGCCGAATCTCCGAGTTGAGATCCCTGATACGGGGATTTCCGGGATCGGTCTGACGAAGGTTGTCCACGCTCATCGGCTAGGACGGCCGCTTCAGCAGGAAAGTTTGGGCGGGGGTCCGTTATGCAACCTGCTGGTAACTGCCGCTGCAGCTCGCAACCCTGCGGAACTTACGTTCACCTAGGTGAACGTCGGTTGGTGTAGGGAGGGCAGCGAAGGTGCTTTAGGTAAATTCCGCGAAGTCTTTCCAATTAGCTTTGGTAAAGTTGATATAGGTCCGGTATTCCGCGGAAGCAAAGTCGGCAGGTTTATCAATCGAGATGACTATGGGCAGATGGTCTGAAGCGAAGGTCAGCATAGGTCGCTATGATATGCTGTTTATCAGACCAGCGCTGACTATTGTTATATCTGGCGAGCTGCAGCAGCTGCCTATAATCCTGGCGGGTGCGTCGTCGTTTATTGTGTGGTGCGTGATGAACGCTAGGCCACCACCATTATCTCGTTCGCGATCTCGACGGTGCACATTGTATCCGGCGCAATTCAACAATGTTGAATTGCTGTGCGACTTCGTCTCTTGGATCGCAGCTATCAATATTTCATGCCTTCTCATGAAGACGGTTATCTCTTCTATCTTGCTCTGAAGTCCGTTACAGTTCAATTGAAAGAGCTTCGTTTGGCTCGGGAGATGTGTTGTTATGCGAGGGGTGAGGGATGTGTGTTGCCTAACCGCCATAGGCTGTGTGCGCTGCTGTGAGAGGTGCCGCCCTGTTGGTGTTAGTGGGTGGCGTCGCAATTGGAGTTTGCGACCGTGCAGCGTAACACGGGCCTTCGAAGCTCCTCGTCCAATCTCACGTGGTGCGCAGATCTGAACATACCCTGAAGTGGCACCAGCCAAGGCAGGTGTTGCACTTGACTGATGTCAGATTACGGAATATCCTGGTCTGACACACCGTGCAGATTGTAGGAGGAACCAGGAGTTGTTGGCTGCGGCGTGTGGGTAGTGGTGCGGTTGTGTCTGTTGTGTGGTCTGCCGCGGTTCGGTCTATTGTGTTGTGTTGTGGTGCTGTGGTGTTTGTGTTGAGCTGCTCAGGCGGACTGGGATTTGCCGTGGAAGCAGTTCTGTTGGAGCAGCAGGGGGCTACAAATGATGTGGTCCACTGCCGATGGGTCCGTAGTCCTGAGCAGACTCTGAGGTGACTCCACCCGTCGCAAGCATTGCACTTGACTGAGGTGGAGTTGTGGTGTATTCGTCTCTGGCATACACAGCAGGTTTATGTTTCTGGCCCTGGGTTTGACTCGACGTCAGCTCTGAGCAGAAGAATGCGGAGCAAATGTAGCCCTATGGACGAAGAACTTCTGAGATACTTTTTTATTTTTTACCAAAATTACCGGAAAAAGTTACCAAATTCTACAAAAAATTACCAAACTTAATTTATGTGCAGAACTATACAAAAAATGTCGCTTACGTTATTTTGGCAGTAAGGGCTGGTTATGTCTGTACATATGTATTCCGAAGATGCCAAGCTTTTCAGGCAATCAGTGCTTCATTCACCTACAATGTTTACGAAAGTTTGTTGAATTTTTTTTAAATATTGCACAAAGTTTGAAATTTGAATTAACACGAGTTCTGTTAAAGAAGGAACTACATATATTTTTATAAAAAATAACCAAAATTAAATTACAAAAAATAATAATATGTCAAAAATTGTCAAAATATGGTGCGGCTATAATTTATAAATATATCAAAAGTTCAACGCTTGAAGGAAAGCTTTCGACTCACACATACACAGGGTGAAGACCCCCACTGAATGCCGTAGCTTTTTGAACGAGAACATACATACGTATATACGTAGAGTTCTACTCCTACGTATGGATATGGTAGATATACTAAGGGCCGTTTGCACCATGTCTAGTTAATTCTAACTCCCAGTTAAACATCTTTATCGACGTTATCGACACCCATCATATAACATGTGATCGATAAAGCAGTTAACGTGCTTAACTGAAGGATGTACCTCCAGTTAGCGTTAACTAGACATGGTGCAAACGGCCCTTAGGGCCGGTTTCTCCATCTCTGGTTAACAATAATCGCCAGTTAAACATCGTTGCCGACGTTACTGACTCCATGCATATTACATAGTGTCGGTAACGTCGGCAACGATGTTTAACTGGCGATTAGCGTTAACCAGAGTTGGTGAAAACGGTCCTTAGTATTAGCCACTTTCAAGCAGTTTGTTAAAGATCACACAATTCTAAATAGTAACCAAGGAACGCTGGAACAACTTTCGCTTTGCGAAACTTTCAGGATAAAAGGAAACGCTTACGGGCCACTTACTTATGTGGAATCAGAACCTATATTCACCATTTGACATGTAGGACCAAATCGAAAAAGTTACCAAATTGAAAAATAAATTACCAAATTACCAAACTTGAGAAATAAGGAAAAAAACTACCAATTGTGGTTAAAAACTACCAAAGAAGCAACGCTGGTTAGATCGCCGAAACAACAGCCCTTGGTCGGGCAAAAACCCGAGTCATTCCGGTACGTAGAACCGGCTGTCGTTGGAATGCCGCTTTACTCGCCGCTTCACTATGCGTGTAGCCTTAAGCTGCCTTTACATGAGGCGATTTTTTTACTGGCGATAATCGCATGCAAAAGCTGACCTGCTGTCTAGTTTGAGCCAAGCGATTCTTGAATCACTATTTACACGAGCGATTTTTGCAGAGCAATGTTGAGTCGAATGGAAAATTGCCTCATGTAAATTCAGCATTTGTCCTAATTCTTTTATATGATTAAGGGCCAGATTTTCAGTGCATGGCTGTGGTTTAAACTTAGTTTAAACGACCGATCTGGCTGGTTTAATTTAATATTAGCCAAACAAATGTCAGCCAGCTGTTCAATTTATTTAAACTGCCACTCAAAAACTGGCCGTGGCAAAACAACATCGCAATCAAGTTTTTATAGCTTCAAATATTTTAGCAATAAATGTGAATTCTCCAAGCAACCCTGTGAGTAATTTCTTTAAACACAAAAAAAAAAATATTTGGAAACAGCTGTTTTGGCAATAGTTGACTTCACAGATTTGATGTCAATAGGATATACAAAACCTATATTTGTAGTCTAAAAGTGATATTTGGTTGTGATTATCAATATAAAATCATAATCTTTACCATATTCCTTTCAACAAACCAAATGCATGCGTGATTACACAAAGACTTTTTCAACTGATAACGGATATCGGGTTCCTAATCATTTTGCCGTCAACATACATATGTATGTACATACTTGATGTTTATCAACAAACGCATCGGTTCCTTATTGCATTTGATATAAAAAATTGTACCTCCACATCTTCCGAGAAAGCAACATAATGGAAGATATAAATGCCAAAAATTGGTCTTATGATATTCTCAAAGAAATAGCGCTGCATGAACCATGGCAGCCAGATTCCATCAACGAGGTAAAATCTATGTTTATAAACGACATTGGTTCCCCACGTCGCTACGAATGTATACGTACCATGGGTGATCTAATAGACTGTTTAGAGCGTCGAGATGTAATTTCCGAAGAAAAGGTTGAGCCTCTGCATCTTTTAGGCAGTAAGAAACTCGACGAGGCAATCCAAACTTACAGCACTGCGCCAAGCGTATGTTTATAAGATATACAATTTAGGGGTTATTTTGTACTTACATATTTATGATTTCAGGCGTTCAAGGCAGAAGGCACCAATCAATACCATGATTTACATATTGCAGATGAATTGTCACATAAGCTATCTATAAACGGTCAAACCCCAGCAACGATGAACGCAAATATTTGTCGGGATAACTCGCGACGTCCAGC